TGAATTTAAAAAGATGCTCAACGTGGAGAGAATATGCATGAAGCTTTATTTAAGGTTTCATCGTAGCTGATAATGTGGAGAGGTTTTAATAGAATATTTTTAGAAAAGAGTCTGTGGGTTTTTGTGAGCCTTGTGCGCTATTGAGATCGTCATTCGGAAGAAGGATTTGTTGCTTTCGGGAGGAAGCTCTGCTGGTCGAAGGGAGTTCACCGTGCAGTTTTGAAGACGTGTAGTGCACGCTAAACAATCACTGTGGAGATTCATCACAACGGCGTCATTGTCTAGGAGGGAGTCCTTAAATGAATAAGTCCGTATGGTGTCTGTAATTTCTGGAACATAGTGAACTGTTTATTGTCTGGGCGTGGTCCCGCAGAGTAGGTGTGCGCACTGAACTGAGATATCATATTGTGTGTTTCTTTACTTTCTGCACTTTATTTTTCTCGAACAACTGAACGTAATTAACCCAGATCTAACAGAGCCAAATTTGACTACTACAACAAGTACTAAAGGAACTAACCATGAAGGTAACAAATATATTATTATGTCACTTTTTACCTCAAATCAAGCAGTGTAATCCGGTAGGGTTTTTTTAATCTGTTGTTTTGAATGCAGGGAAAAAGAATAGCACTAAAACAATTGTTTCTGTGGTGGTCCCAGTGGCTGCGGTGGCTTTGTTAGTGATACCGCTACTTTGGGCTTGCTCATCTTGGAGAAAAATCAAGGAGAAAAAGAGATGGTAATAATCTTAATTCTCATCCTTAATTTAGTTTATTTAGCTTGTCACACTCAACTAAGGTTTAGCAAAAAATTTAGACATACTAAAGTAGTTAAAATGTTGTTTCATGTTACTAATTTCCGTTTGGAAATGCACTGCACTTTGTGTAACTCAGATAATGTTCATGAAGAAGGAAGTAGTGGAATGGAGCCACTCTTGATCGGACTAAGAACTCAAAAAAGTTGCAACAAAAGATTTCTCCATTGCAAACAAACTTGGAGAAGGTGGTTTTGGTCCAGTTTATAAGGTACCAAGTCAACTATAATGAATAAGCACTATAATTTGCCACTCTTTATATCTGACACTGCAAACTATGTTGGGTTGGTTGGAGCTCTTTTTCTGCCGCCCATGGTTCCGCCTAATTTTCAAAAGTAATTTAGGTATTCTACTAATGTATTAGTCGGCCCCGATCCTCGTGATAAACAAGGGACGTTTACGGAATATCCATTTTCGGTAAAGAAAAATAGAGATTGATATAGGTAGTTTTAGTTTAGATTGTACCTTATACTTCCTCCGCTTATTATTGTGAAATTTTCGGCAAGTGGACATAGTTCTCACATCAAGAGTGAGCCACTATAGATCTTGTGCATACAATCTCTATATTTTTATTCATCCCGTTTACATATTGCTCTTGAATGGTAGGAATTATGGCTTTAAAGTTTCTAACATGTTGTTCATATGTAAGGGTAAACTCAATGATGGACGAGAAATAGCCGTCAAAAGACTGTCAAGTAATTCAGGTCAAGGACTAGAGGAACTAAGAACTGAAGTAGTTTTGGTTGCTAAATTGCTCACCACAATCTAGTAAAGCTGTTGGGATTCTGCTTAGAAAATGAAGAGAAGTTACTTGTCTAAGAATACTTACCTAATGGAAGCTTGGAAAAAGTTTTATTTGGTATGATATTCTTTCCTTTTTTTTTTTTTAGTTAGTAGAAGCAGGGATTATATAACATCAAATGTGTATTAGTTTATCATGATCTATAAGTTTTTACTTGATTATAGTTGAGGGAAGACGAAAAGACGCTACAAAATCATTGTTGGTATCGCTAGAGGGCTACTTTATCTGCACGAGGACTCTCAGTTCAGGGTTATTCATAGAGATCTAAAAGCTAGCAACATTCTGTTGGACCAAGACATGAATCCCAAAATTTCCGACTTTGGTCTAGCCAAAATCTATCATAATTGTCTTTTTCATCATTTTATATTTGAGGGTTGATCTTTTGTAACAAGAAATTTTAATTTCAAGAGAGTGGGGATTTAAGCGGGTTGTGTGAATAAAAACATTCATTTTTTTCCCTTTTCTATTGAAACGACAACGAACTATCAAATGCAAATTGCTTCTCTCTGTTGTTCTTTTATTTTTTTTTTTTTAGCGACATGTCACAAGGATCATACCGAAAAAGTGGTGATTTTTTATTGTCTAAAACAAAAGGTAAATATAGTACATTATGTTATAAAATTTCTGTTAATATGTAATCAAATACGAACAAATACATGACTACTTTTAGAGCATGTTTACTTTGCATTAAAGAAAAAGGGGAAGTAAGGAGTAATTCCTTTTTCTATCTAATAATGTGTTTACTTACAAAATTAGTAGTAGAGATTTAGTACTAATCCTTGCACCTCCCTAAGTATTGATTTCTTATTAAAGAGAATGAATAATAAATTTACTTACTTATCCTTAATGAATTACTATACAATTAATAATTATTTAATTATGTAAAATGACATTTTAGTGATTACATTCATAAAATTATTATTCCTAATTTTAATAAATATAAAAAAAAAATAAAATTATTTCTCATTACACTATCTAATAATCAAATAAACATATAAAAAAAATGAATAACTCTTAATCTTATTACTTTATTTTTCTTCTAATCTTATTATCTTTTTCATTACATTTTTTTACGGTTTGATAAACGCGCCTTAGTGTAGTATTACGACAAAAGTAGGCCAAACGAGAAGGAAAGCATATCAACTGCGAGCCAGTTGGCTTCAAATTAACATTTGACCATTGACCTACTTTTTCCACAATAATGCCTATAGTGGTGGCTCAACTTGTGTAAGTCCATTGATAATTTGGGTCAACCATGATCGCTTGACTTACGTGGCATAAATGGGTTATAAAAATGCATCAATACATTTCTCTAGAAGAATTTATGAATAATTTGAGGACTGGATTTTGGATTATTATCGAAACCACGGGCTAGATAGTAGCCCTATGGCGTACTTTTTGGCTGAAATTACTGACTTCGTAAAACTATTCCCCGCAGCAAGAGACCGGGTTTTTCCTTGATGATTAAAGATAACAAAGCGGCCAAACTTATACTGCCAGTAATGCTAACAATCATTTGTCAAATAATAATAACAAATCGGCCAAACTTATACTGCCAGTAATAATATTAACAATAATAATAATAATAATAATAATAATAATAATAGTAATAATAATAATAATAATAATAATAATAATAATAATAATAATACAAAATAATAAATTAATAATAATTAATAATAATAAAGAAAGACATTATAACTAATGTTAGGTGATTTCCATTACTCTGCATTTGGTATCAAAGAATTTTCTATACATAATAGCATCGCATCGTAGTCACGTAATATTCAGAGCCTGATGCAGACAAATTTAATTAGAAAGTTCGGACAAGATATAATAACATGTCAAAAGTTCTAGATGATTATTACATTCTTCATCCAAGCCCGCAATATATTCAAATATGCACATTTGGGCTTGTTCATTTATATTTTTGAGTTACAGTGACTTGATTGAGTATAAATTTTGAGTTAAATTTGAGTTATAATTTGAGTTGATGTTGTAATTTGAATTCTTATTTGGTTGTGTATATTTGAGTGGTTTGAGATTAGAATCTTTTTGAGTTTGTGTTTAAGTGAGTCAAAATTTGAATTGTATTTGGATAGTATTTTAGTAAAAACTCAATGGTGATGAAAATTTTACTTGTAAAAGAACAATATATCCAACCTTACTAAACACTGGACTATTCAGGATGCATGGGCACACCAGCAGGATCTTTCAAAAATATTATTCTTTTTAAAAAAAAATTTTTCAAGTTCCATCTAGAAGCAATTGACAAAAAATCAGATAAAGCAGCTCATACTACCCCGTTTTTTTCGCTGATTCAAATTTAGAATTCGAGTTTTGCTACAGTAAAAAGCTCTCAGAAATAGTCACATCTAACTTTTGTGCTACAGTAAAAAGCTCTCACACAACATCACATCTCAACTCGAATTAGCGAACCGAACGGCCCTGTAATAGTACTTCTTTGTGTAAAACAACCAACTTTTCGCACTATCGTGTACAAAGATTCGAGAACCTTTGGCGGCCTATCAAGAATAATGCAGGTTTATAGTTACTATGTTATTTTAGTAATATTATATTATTTGTGTAGCATTAATACTATTATGAGCATGTTTGGATTGCAACTATAGGATCAAAGTGGAAGATGGCTGCGCCAGAGTTTTTGAGGCTTTGCCCCCAATCCCATAATCTTCATGCCATGGCATAAAATGTGACTTGATTCCAATTTGATCATATAGTTGTACAATGCCTAACGGATTATTTTTAATGAATTTAACCACAATCAAGTGTTTCATATAGATAAGATGTCAAAGTGTTAAATTCAGTATAAAATATTAATTCCTTTCTCCAACTTCTATGGTTGTTCTCTACAATTTCTCCTAATTGTCCTTGTATAAGTACTTAAACTCTTGGGAAATTAATTACATATCGTACACTGATTAACGTAATCACTAAAAACTTTGAAGAGTAAAACTGAGTTACAATAGCAACATAGATAGCATTTGATTTTCCATGGCCGACAAGTGATGAAATGTGAAACCTAATTGAAAATCATTAAATGCTCGAGAAAAATCAATTATATATATGTCCACTCATAATCACATCTAATTGGTATGTCTTTCAAAACTTATACAAAGTCGTCTGGGACACTTTCATTATGGCTCTTTCATTGGGTTGACACAGCACGCATTTATCAACCACAAATACATAATATCAATAATATCCTCTTCAGCAAGTCACGTTCCTATTTTGACAAACATTTTTTCTTCGTCCTAATTATATAATTAAGATATTTGACTAATTTTCTCCCATAGAAAAGTTTACAATTTCAACTCCCTGTTTATCGTTGCACCCTGAAGAAACTCTTTTCTATATAAACGCAACGACAATCTCGTAGAGAAGCACATCCACAAAATCCCAAACAAGCTTATTGTTGCAATTAATCCCAAAAGCTTGCTCATAATCAATATCACAACATTATGTCCTCCTCAAAACCAATCTCTCTCCTAACTTTCTCTCTCTTCTTCTTCCTTTTCCTCAATGCAGCCATAGCCGCGGATCCTCTCTACCATTTTTGCTTCAACAAGGAAAACTACACAGCCAACAGCCCATTTGGCGCAAACTTGAATGAACTGCTCAGCCGTCTCTCCGTCAAAGTCCCTCCGACCGGCTTCGGAGTTAGCACCACCGGGCAAGGCGACAGCCAAGTGAACGGACTAGGCCTGTGCCGCGGAGACGTCTCCACCGAGGACTGCAAGACTTGCACCGTCGAAGCGGGCAAAGAGCTTCAGAGCCGTTGCCCATACAACAAAGGAGCCGTCATTTGGTACGACAATTGCCTCTTGAAGTACTCGGACAAGAACTTCTTCGGCCAAATTGATAGCACCAACAGGTTCTACATGTGGAACGTTAAAGACGTGGATCAAGACCCCAAATCTTTCGACTCGAAAGTGAAGGAACTGTTGAGCAGTTTGTCTGAAAAGGCCTCTGCCACGTCGAAGTTGTATTCGACCGGCGAGCTCGTGCTCGGGACCGGACCGGACCCGAAACTGTATGGCTTGGCTCAGTGCACCAGAGACCTTAAAGGAATAGATTGTAAAAAGTGCCTTGACGATGCAATAAGCGAACTTCCAAACTTTAGCAGTGGAAAACGAGGAGGTCGTGTGGTTGGTGGAAGCTGCTACGTTAGATATGAGCTTTACCCTATTGTTGAGGATCAAAAAATATAAATAGGCGGATTGGTGGTACTCTTTCAGCTTATTTTAGATATTATGTAAACGTAATCTACTGTAATGGTTTACACAAGCTAATAATTAAATAAATTGCTAGTGATAATATGGCAGTGATTATCTAATCTTCATGGATCAGCCTTTTTTTTTTAATCTTACATATTAAGTATGATTGATGTCTCTTAATTATGCTTAGTTTATTTGTTTGTTTATTTATTTATTGGCTGAAATAAGTGTGCTTAGTTGGGAATCAGCATTTTGAGCATATTAACGGAAACCTTTGAAGTTCAAAGCTTATAAATGCATCTTTTGCTAGCTAGCTAGGCCTCCTGAATTTGTCTATGAAGGTTCGGAAGGAAAAAAAAAAAACGGATAACATTAAATATGTTATTATTTTACATTTTGTGCATATTGGAACTTTGAAAGTGCGACACATTTTTCTTTGGTAAATTACAAGTTCAAAGCTTTGCTAATGCACGTTTTGCTATCTCTCCTGAATTTGTCTAAGAGAGTTCCAAAGGTAAATAAATAAATAAAGACGTGAGGAAAATCATGTTCTCCGTCTTCTTTAAAATCCTGCCAACTTCCGCTAGCGAGTTCCAAAAGTAATGTTCTTTGCTTTATAGGTCTCGTTTCTCAACCATTTTTTATTCCACTGGTGTAAATGGGTGAACCAAGGAGAAGCGTAAAATCATGCAGAAAGGCGGAAAACGTTTATTGCAATCTTACAAAACACATACTGAAAAAAAAAAAAAAAAAAAAAAAAAAAAAAGAGAAAGATATAAAATAGCTAAGAAAATGTGATTTATGCTTGGTGTTAGTTACATTGTTGGAGACAGACTTCGAACGTTAATCTCAACCGTCCATGTGTCAACACTCAATATGGGTCGGGCCATTGGGATGGGCCGGCAAAGCCAGTGATTGGACAACCACGATGAGGAGGAACAAGTTCTCAACATTGCCCACTAAGAGAAACTCAACTTTCAGGGATGGACTCAAAAAGATTGTAGTTTCAGGGATAGACGTCAGATTAGAAAAGGGGATATGCAGGGTTTTCATGTTGGTTGCTCAGCAACCAACGTCGAACGTCTTGTGCAATGGCTTTCCAAGCTAGTTGCATCGAAAGCGAATTTTAAGAGCTTTAGATCCCTTTTATTTCACCGATTTGAGTTTAGAATTTGAGTTTTACTACAGTAAAAAGCTCTCAGAAACAGTCATATTTAACTTTTTTACTACAGTAAAAGCTCACATAAAATTATATCTCAACTCGAATTAAAAACTCGAATCAGCGAACTAAACAAACTCTTATATTCCGCGTTGGTTTGCTTAGAAACTGGCATTAAAAGCCTTTTTTAGGCACTTCAAATGTTGGTTCCTACCGACCAACGTCAAAAGCGAAGCACATCTTTTCGAGGGTAGGCAGCCGCCTTACTTGAGTTTTTTAAAGAAATTTTGTAGGGGTATAATTGTATTAAAATTTGTCATTTGTTCCCCTCTAAAAATATGAAATTATATATGTTTGTCCTCCTTTAAAGTCTAAAAATCTCTTTCTTAATTTTCTTCCCATAATCTCGAACTTAACGATTCCTCTGATCACCACGGAGAGAGATCATGGCACTCTCCTATATGATGTTGTTTTTCTTTTTTCTCAACCTCTTCTTAAAAAAAAAAAAGTTTTCAACATTCTTTTTGAATAAGGATATATATAAATATGTCCATTTGAATTGAAATATGTAATGATATGAGTTCCATGACTTCCTTCCATTCATATCTCGTATATATTATTTTTTATGATTTTATTTCCTACATGTCCATTTAAATTGAAATTTTTTTTTTTTTTCCTTCGGTATCTTAATACATGCTTTGTCTCAATTTATCAATTCCCACCAAATTATTAGTTATAAGTTCTTACCCTAACAATAAGCACTGAATTGGTTAACTTTCAACTATGGCTTATAAGCTAATGCATGCAATACATTTGTTGATGGACTCTATATATGCACACTGATTCTAATTAATGAAAATTAACAAAAACAAATGTTGAATGCACTCGCGAGTATAATCTGGGTTTTCGTTCACGTGAGCTCATTGTGGATAGTAGTAGTGGTAAAGATCTTGCACTCGCAACACTCAGTAAATTGATGGTAACATTTGAATGCCCAGCTTGCCTGTTAAGAATATATATATATATATATAGCTGGGCATTCAAATGTTACCATCAATTATATATATATATATATATATATATTTTGGAACGAGACCAACACAATCGGAAGTATGGAATGAAAAAAAACAAGAAAACAGGAAAGAAATATGAACACAAGAAGATTTACCCAGGTTCGGCCAAAAATAAATTGACCTAATCCTGTCGAGCTCCTCCACAAAAAACTCAATCCACTATCATGAAGAAGAATTACACCTTCAATCAATTACAAGAAATAGAAACCCCAAATCTGAGATACAAAACCCAGAAACCAACCCTAGAGAAAAACAAAGTGTTTCCTGAGAAAAACTACCCATAAGAAATTCTGATTTCTTCTATTTTCTCACACCTCAAACACTCTTGGAGCACATCCTCTCTCACTCACCGTGTACTGGTTTCTTCTTCCTCTTGAATCTGCTTGAACCTCTTTGATACAAGGGAAAAGCCTCTCTCTCTCTTGATTATGTTTCTCCACCGAATGAATGAACCATCTAGATCTCTTCTTTTCCTTTAGGTATAGTCGGTTCTAGAAGAGTTGGCTCTGCACTGACTTGGACACGTGGAGCATCCTGGTGAGAAGGTGTTTTAGATGTCGTTTTCTTCTAGTTCTTCTTCTTATGCATATAAAATGATTTCTTCTGGGATTATTCCTCACAAACTCCACCTTAATCTCAGAAGTAAATCATGCTTCTTGTGGAATCATAGCTCTATCCTTCTAGGCTACGTTTTTCCAATATTAAGCAAACCCAGACCTTTTTGGAGTTTGCTTGCAGTGATAACTTTTGTAGCCATGTCTGAAGGATTCTCATCAGTGTCGACCTTTTCCAGCATGATCACTCCATCTTCCACCTTTTCCCTGATGAAGTGATGCCTCACATCTATGTGCTTGGACTTCTCATGATATACCGGATTTTTGCATAAGTGAACTGGCTGTCTGAATAGACTGTTGGGGTTCCTCTCAGTGCCTTCAACTCGTTTAGCAAACCTTGCATCCATATAGCTTATTTAAAACCTTCTGTAAGAGCCATATACTCAGCCTCCGTGCTTGATAGAGCCACTACAGGTTGTAGTTGAGCTTTCCAGTTGATGCAACTACTACTCAAAGTCATCATAAATGTTGATGTAGATCTCCTCTTATCTCTGTCTCCTGCATAGTCTGAGTCTACAAAACCTTCCAATACCATGTGTGCAGTCTTGCACTTGTAAATTAAACCATAACTGAGAGTATTCTTGACATACCTCAACACCCACTTCATGGCAAGCCAGTGATCTTGCCCTGGATTTGCCATGTACTTGCTCAGTACGCTTACTGCATAGGCAAGGTCAGGCCTAGTGCAGATCATTGCATACATTAGGGAGCCTACTGCACTTGCATAAGAAACTTTAGACATCTTCAATTTGTCTTCTTATGTTGTGGGAGATTGTGCTGCTAAGAGTTTGAAGTGGCCGGCTAGAGTGATAGTTACTCCTCTTGCCTGTTCCATTGAGAACTTCTTCACTACCTTTCTTAAATACTCTTCTTATGAAAGGTATAAGATCCTTTCTTTTATGTTCCTCTTTATGTCAATACCGAGGATTCTTCTTGCCCTGCCCAAGTCTTTCATATCAAACTCTGAGCTTAACATTTTCTTTACCTCCTTGATGATTTCTGGGTCCATGCTTGTAATTAGCATGTCATCTACATACAACAAGAGAAAGACTGCATTACTTGCACCCGGATTCCTGTGATACAAACAGGAATCATAATTGCTCCTTGTAAATCCAGCTTTAACTACGTAGCTTTCAAATCTTCTATACCATTGCCTTAGGGATTGTTTCAATCCGTACAAGGACTTTCGCAGCAGACACACTTTTTCTTCCTTTCCTTTTGCTTCAAAACCGAGTGGCTGTTGCATATAAATTGTTTCATTCAGGTCCCCATAAGGAAAGCGGTTTTAAAGTCCATCTACTCTAATTCCCAGTCCTTTTGTGCTACTAAGGCAGAAATAGTTCTTATAGTTTTGTATTTCACAACCGGTGAGAACACCTCAGTGTAATCTATGCCCTCAACCTGTGTGAATCATTTTGCTACTAACCTTGCCTTGTATCTCTTGGGCTCATTTGGTTCAATTCCTTCTTTAACTTTGAAGATCCATTTGCAGGAGACAAGTTTATGCTTCTTGGGCCTGTCCACTAAGACCTAAGTATTGTTTTTCCTGAGAGAGTTCATCTCTTCCTCCATGGCTGCCATCCACTTGTTGGACTGAGAGCTTGAAACTACTTCTTGATATGAGCCTGGTTCTGTTTCTGAAAGGTCTTTTGCAGAGCTTAAAGCAAACGCTATGAGCTCACTCTCACCATATCTCTGAGGGGGTTTGATGCCTCCTTGACCTATCTCTTGAAAGGACATAATCTGACAGAGTCTCTGAGACCGCATGCTCTAGTTCCTCTCATGGGTCTTCAGCAGCAGTTTCCTGAGTCTCTTGCGGTTGCTGCTCTGATTCATTATCAGGTTCCTGCTCAAGTGGAGCTTGTGTTGATGTTGTTAGTGACTCCACCTCAAATTAGAGCTGTCATGGGGAGTTTTCACCTCTTCCTACATCATTAAAAGGGGCAGCAGTATCTTTGTCCTTTTTAAAATAAGGCATATGGTTTTCATTAAAGATTACATCCCTGCTAATGATGATTTTAAACTTAGGACTATTTTTCAGGCATAGTCTATATCCTTTTACTCCCTCAAGATATCCTAGGCATATGCATTTAAGGGATCTAGGGTCTAACTTCCCTTCCCTTTGGTGTGCATACACTGCACATCCAAATACTCTCAAATTTCCTAGATTTGGTGGTTTTCCAGTCCAGAGCTCCTGTGGAGTCTTCAATCCTATAGGCTTACATGGACATCTATTAATTAGATAACAAGCAGTGTTAACTGCTTCACCCCAGAAGGATTTAGGTAAACCTGAACCAAATAGCATACATCTAACTCTCTCCATTAAGGTTTTATTCATCCTCTCTGCTATGCCATTTTGTTGGGGTGTCTTCTTCACAGTTCTATGCCTTAGGATGCCATTACTGTGGCAATAATCTGTGAACAACTCATGACAGAATTCTAGACCATTATCAGTTCTAAGGGCTTTTACCCTTTTATTTAATTGATTTTCAACTAGGTTCTTCCATTGTTTGAATTTATTAAAACATTCATCTTTAGTTTTTAATAGGTAAATCCAAACTTTCCTAGAGTTATCATCAATTATAGAAAGAAAGTACATGGACCCTGCATGAGTAGGTGTTCTTTCTGGCCCCCATAGGTCCACATGTAGATAATCCAATGGTCCATTTGCTCTGAATGTTGATGTAGTGAACTTCAGCCTGTGTTGCTTCCCTAAAGTGCACTGCTCACTGAAGTCCAGATGGTTGATTTGTTAGAAAATAATGGCATCGAGTGCGCAGCAAAATTTAAAAAATTTAATCAACGTTAAAGCCAACCAAGAATATATTCATGATGCTATATAACATAAATACTAAAGATCTAAATCACACCTTTTGAGATTTAGGAAACTGCACGTCTGACAGATCAAAGCGTTCCAAACAGCAACAAGAAGAGCCTCAACCAACTGGTCTTCTTTGCTATTCTCATTTCCACGATCGGAGTGCGGGTGGGCACATGTCATTCAATCTCCTCTTGGTATTCTTGATCTCCTTCCAATCACGAGAGCCAAAGAAAAAATTGTTCTTGAGAATTAAACAATTTTTCCTCTCAGGAATCTTTTATCAATAGCCTCCAAAAAATCTCTCAAGTGATCTATGAGTAATGTGACTTAATAGGCTATTTATAGTGTTTAGAAAGTCATACTTCCGTAATGATTAGGTTTTCCAAAGTCTTAATCGCATCCAGAGTCGATTTTGCCACGTCAGCATGCATTTTACGTTACAACCGGTCGACCGGTGACAGAGACGTTATAACTCACCAGTCGACCTGTCTTCACTAACCGGTCGATCGGACCGGTCGACCTGTTAGCACTGACGAAAGTTGTTTTCTTAGTTTTTCAGCACGAAAAACTTGCATAGAGCCCGAGTTTTGATTCAAGCAACCCAATAGAGAAATTACCTGATCAAAACAGTCATATAATAGTCTTCCCATATTAAACAACTCTTAAAACAATAATTTAACCAATTTATCTAAAATTAATTTATCAATTAATTCACCTGATAAATCACCCATGAATTAACTTTGAACCTCTTTTACGGAAATAACACAAGTTACCAATATGTAGGAAATACGCCGAATCGTTACAGGAAATTATGTGAGCTAGCAAAGGGACCCGATGGACATATATAAATTAAGCTCCTATAATCACAACGCTACTTGTAAACTAACAAGTCCGTCTCATGATTATAAAACTCTAGCTCTATTCCACTAAAAGCCTAGAGCTGCACTTTCGATTTATATAGCGTATTTACAAAGCTCTGATTAGCTCTAGTCCATGACTCAATATATTAGTGTATCATCCCCATAGGATATCCATAATCGACTTGAGGTCAAGTTCCGTTTTACCTTCCCGATTACATTTATCTTATATTCCATTATCATACCATCAAAAAAATACTATTTGTACCATTACAAAAAGTAAACCATTAGATAACACAGAGTAATCTAATGGCCTAGCGCTCGTATTTTTCAATCCACTGATAATGCATAAGAGGATATCATTGACTCTTTATATTCCACTATCTATAAATAACGAATCTACACATACACGAGTTATACCCCCAATATGACTAAAAATACCGGATAGTGCTCTACGATACTCATCATAACGAATCTACGCATTCAAAATTATATTAGAAAAAATCCCTAAAAATAATATAATCATACCGGTGTTAGCCGTTAGGTACTTTTTTCTAGGGAATTGTTGTTAGATATTTTTATCGTCTATATTCCTATTATTATTGTTGTTATTATTATTATTAAAGACATCCTTATAAGCAATTGAACCAATGCAACTTGATCGTGTCGTGCCTGCATATTTCGTTGTTTATTCATTTTGTCTGAAATTGTGGGCTGGATATGCGTGCTTGGATTAGGTGCACCTTCACGTGGACGCCATAAACATATTAAACTACTCCACACAAAAGACTTCTTCTCCTCACCGTACACGTATGTGTTACTGCCTCTTATTATGTTTTTTTAATCCTAATTTTTATAATTAGTAAGTTGGAAATTTACTATTCAGCCAAAAAAAAAAAAAGAGTTGGAAATTTACTTTCTCTGATATTCTGATCGTTAATAGGCTTGAGCTCTGCAGCAAAAGAGATAATATCAACATGCAGTAGAGGCATTGTATATTAATTTGCAAAGCGAGATCACATTATATAATCTTTATCAAAATTAAGTCATATAAGTTTGTGCACCTGTAGTAGTATTAGTTCATTAATTTGGTCTTTCAATATTTTGAAATTGATATCTCTTTGTTCATTTTGTAATTTTTTTTGTGATTCTTTAATCAGATTTAATGTTAGAAAACATGCATTACCATAAGAAGTTATGTAGAAACAATTTTAAAAAAAAAAGAAAAAAGAAAAAAGAGTTGATGTAGAAACAATTAAAAATTTTATTAAAAAATATTTTTTTTGGGGAAAAAAAATGCATTTTGAAAAAATGGTAAGGGCCAACCGGTGACCTCTTGATCTGCAGTCAAATGCTCTGCCACTGAGGCTATGGACCCTTAACTCGCTTAATGAAGTTGTTATATTGAACCCATCTCTTTCAGGAAACTTCAACTAGTAATCTAATTGGTTCAAAAATCGTAATTCAAGAGAGAGACGGAAAGAAAAGAATGTCGTTTTAGTTGAAAAGGAAAAAAAAAAAAAGAAGAAACAATGATTGAGAACTCGAGAAAACAACCCGGCAAGCATCACCTTTAGCTTTTGAGACTTAAACCAACTCTCAACGACTCATTCCAAAAAATAAAAATAAAAAAAATAATAATAATAAAACAATATCTTCTCTCTTGACATCCATTGCCCATTTAGCATCTTTATATACAACTCCAAATTCCAACCAAAATCCAAGCTGTGATTGCATATTGTTTTTCCCTCACTCTGCATATTCTCTGTATCTGACCATTCCCAAACCAAAGCCAAAACATGGCAATGAAGAGAACCATTTTAAGCATGGCTGTCATGGCCCTTCTCATTGAACTTGGCATGGCGGCAAACTACACCGTCGGAGGCGGTCCAAATGGCTGGGATACCTCAACAAACTTGCAAAGTTGGGCGTCATCTCAGGCATTTCTAGTCGGAGATAATCTCAGTAAGTACTAAAATCAATCGCTGCTTTACCCTTTCTTCTTTTGTTTCAATTGAGAAGAAAAAAAAGGCCAACTCAATACATTTGAAACCACATTATGAAATTCTTAGTGCTAATACGTCGGCTAACTTCCATGATTTTTGAGTTGTGATTTTCTCACAATCGGGATGATCGATAGAGTTGTTCAAATTCTTGTTTGCCTCCGTAGCTTATCATATATAGATCTCACCGGTTTGTAGATTGCGGAAAATTTTATGAAGAAAATATTTCATCACAATCACAGAAAAAAGATACTAAGCTGTGAGTTGTTTCTTATAATCATTTTTGCAGTTTTTCAGTACACACCGAACCATAATTTGATGGAAGTCACAAAAGCAGGCTACGATTCTTGCAATCCAAGTAATCTACTCCAGATTTACAATGATGGCAATACCGTCATCCCTCTGTCTGCTCCGGGGAAAAGGTACTTCATCTGTGGAGTATCAGGGCATTGCCTCGGAGGAATGAAGGTCGAAATAGATACTCTCGCGACCACTTCTTCACCCCCAGCAGATTCTCCTTCCTTGGCTCCAAATAGCCCTCCTTCTACTCCATCACGGGCAGGATCACCCGAATCCCCTGCACCAACCGCGTCCGCTCCTCGATTGTCACCCGACTCACCACTCTCCAACGGTCCTTCGTCGTCTTCTCCTAATATTGCTCCTTCTACCGAGACTCCTCAGCCTGCACCAGCACCATCTGCTGCTCCTATCAACTACGTTAAAGGCGGTTTCCGAGCTAGTCTCCTTGTGGGATTCAGCACCATTGTGATGCTTTTGGCCTTCTAATCTGTTATAGGGAATTCTTTTGCCATAAGGAGGTTGTTGCGTTGTTTTTGAGTGAATGTTCTCCTGAATTCATCTTCTTCTTTCCTTTCTGTTCTTGCGCCTTTGGGTCATTACAGATTCTGAATATACCTTTCAATGTTTCATAATACTATTTCTAATGGTCTTTAATATTTTTATCCTTTCAATTTCAGATCATACTAATCCATTTTGCATTTCTACAGGCAAACTATCATTTGCTTTTCGCAGACATTATGTATTACAGATTTGAAGACTGATTCATTAAAATATAAAAACTGTATTCATAGTTGAAGACTTTTTAATTATTATGATAGACCGAATCTCTTCCGTTATGGACAACCACTCTGCGATTATTTGACTAGTTAGTAGAGAATAACCACTGCCACATGATTAAATCATTAAAATAATTTACTTAAAAGAAATCAAAAATACAAATTCCCCCGAAAAGTACTAGCCAGAGATCTATAGTAGGGTAATGCAACACAAATTTCTTAATATTGAATATCAAGATTTTATTTTATTTTATTGATGATGTTCTAACAAATCTAATCGTGCTGACAATATTGAATGGGATCAAAAGAAGTCATTTGAAAATGCATACATATATAGTGAGCATATAATTAACCAAAAAAATTTTGGCTACATATTCGTGCCTAAGTACAGCTGGCTACTCAATTTTAAACATCTTGCTTCATCAACTACTTCGTAGACACATTTGAAAAAGCTAACAGAAAGATATTATAATAATCAACCAAATCAAGAGACAAGTTGAATAGAGAGATGGTTGCCACAATTTTTTTTTTTCCATTTTCATGTCAGGAATTTTGCACATTGTTACGCCACGGGAGGGTGTCGAATGTGATCCTGTGAAGTGTCGAGTGGAGTTTGGGGCATCATTTGCCACATGGTGACACCGCCGGGGTAACTGATGAAAGGCATTAGCTTGTTTGTAGATTGTCCTTGCACGGTAAGCGCAGAGGAGATTGCAGGGGAATGAGGAAGGAAGCTAGTTTGGGCCGCCATGGCCTTGACTTGCTGCTCCAATCTCTCTTTATCTTCCCTCAGCCTCTGCCTCTCTTCGCGAAGTTCATTCTTCTCTGCCTGAGAAAGGGAGAAACTCGGAAAGAGTTAGGCAGAGGCGAATAGTAATACTAAGATAACATAATATGGCCTAATAAGAACTCGCCAACTCAAGTCATGTTTTACTATTTTATTCATATTGTAACAAGGATCAAAAGAGTTGTTGATTTTCGAGACCTCACCTTCAATTCTTTAATCTTTTCGTGCAAATCGTCAATTGTTTCTTTCAGATGGCGCGATTCACTTCGTAACTGTGTTAGTATCCGAGCAGCATCACTCAAAATGGCAGCCTTGTCTGTTTTGGGAAGCCTTCCAGGTTCCATCACAGCAACCAATTCCAGAAACCTAATTCTTGTCATGTCAAAGTTTGATGAGAAACAGAAAGATAAGTATCAGACTCTACAAGATGAATTGAATATCACCCTTCTTTACCTCTCATTCAGTCTATCCCTTCGCAATTTCTCTCGGCATGCTTTCGAGCAAGATGCACCACTTGATTGATCAGATCTCGGCCTATAAAAAATAAAAAAATAAAAAAATAAAAATAAAAATTGTTTGGTATGTAATGTATCACGGAGAGAAAAAGTGAGATGTTATAAACTCAAACCAACTTTTATTCATTTTCAAGAAACTTAATCACTAGCCACATCTATAGCTCCTTTTGCTATAACATAATCACTAACCACATCTAGATCATATGATTCTTAGGAGAAAAAAGTTTTTTTTTTTTTTTTTTTTTTTTCTTCAGCAACTCTGAGAGGCAAGCAATGAAAAAAGGTTCACCTTTTGCGGGAGCCAACTTCTTTAATGCTATCAGAATCTCCGGATGGGCAGTCAACTTCCACACTGAAAATATTTAGGACCACCACAAAGTTTATCATAAAAAATTTAACCGAATGTGGAAATTTTATTTAGGCATTGAGAATATGACAAGACAAACACAAGCATATCCTAAACGACTGATTAGAAGTTAGAACATAATTTTTCCAATGTGAGAAGAGACGGAAGAGATTTTTATTTTTTACCGTTTCCGAGACTTGACTTCCTTGAGGCTGTCTGAATATGAGCATTCAACTTCCACACTGAATAGCACGACAAAAATGTCAACAAAATTTAGACCTAGATTAATGGAATTAGGCAACATAATGTAACGCTCTTGCAAATAAATAAATAAAAAATGCGGACCCCAGTGCCAAAGAGGCTCCCGTACTATGACAGGCTCGGGAGAAAGTTAGGTCATTTCCTGGATTTGAACCCTGGACCCCGGGTGCAAACGCAAGCGCTCCCACCACGGTGCCAAGGCCAATAGAATGAGTAAAAATGACTTCTCCTGCTTTAGACAACATGATAGAAAATTATTGCATGTAACTATTTACTGAACTAGCATGACAAAATTTGCCTGTCATTTGGAAAGTTCAAATATATCTTACTCCACCCTACGGCTAAGCAATATCTTATTTTCACCTACCATGTACAAAAGAATTTCCAAGAAGTCCCAAAAAAAAAAAAAAAAGAAGGAAAGACTTTTTACGCCAATAAAAAAATACACCAATTTGTTTATGGCACAGCCCTCCTAATGTGGCACAAGACATGCATATTAGGATTGTTCATTGAAAGTTAATTAGGTTTTATTTATTACACTCGTAGGAAACAAAGTTGGTGCATGTATACACGCAAAAAAAAAAAAGGAAGAAATTTTCACTCCTGATTAATAACTTAGAATTCTATAATTAGATTGGAAAAAAAATAACTTAGTGAGCCCACCCCACCTTGCATTAGGGGAAGTGCTGAGGGGTTGCGGAGGCCAGATGAAAGCGGTGGGAGCACCGGGAAATTCACCACCGAGAACTGCGATATCTTCCATTAGGGCATAGTCAAATAGCCAATTTGAGTTCTCTGAGGAGGCCATGTCCATTTCTGGTTATGTGTATGATGAAATACCAGAATTTCAAAGAAAAACTGTATTGGTTATCCTTTGTTAATGTTTGTGGAATGGAAAAGGTTTCAAATGTCTATAGTTCCCACAATCAAAGTGTTTCAGTGGAAGGAGACGAATATGAATAACCAAACTAGTGGACTTGAAAAACTGATAATGATCTGATCACTACTTGCTTAGAGCATATATAACAGTTCGCTTAGAGATTATAGTTGACTAAACATCATTAAAAAAATAAAATTCCCAGAATCTATCTAGCATATCTGAAAAGCAGTGCTGAAAATGAAATTTCAATTTTCAAGTTTTAGAGCATTGCACTTAAATATTTTTGTTAGTACCAGAGAATAAACATGAAACGAGGGAATTGATGTAATTTCAAAATTAGATATTTCCTACCAAAATCTTTTTATTTTTAGTAACAAGCATCTGATTTGTGAGTTTAATTAGACATAGGAAAATCTATGATTAAGTATCTTGCTTCAGAATCATTCGTTTATTTGGAACTTCTAATACATATAAATGTGTGTGTTTATGACTAAAATCATGACTAATTGGCAATCTTGTTCTCCACAAGAAATTAAGATCATAGATAGATTAAAAAAAAAAAAAAAAAAGAGAATCCATAAAAGCATATTAAGTATTAACTGCTTTGATTGGGACAGTTATACAGTATATGCAAATTTAGAAAAAACATAAGCTAATATATAACTGAAACTGTCATGAAAAACCAGTTGAAGAGAGAAACGCGTTAACGTGTTTACGTCTCCAATTGCGCGTTCTCTGTCTCTAGAGAGAAGGGTTCCCCTTCCGTCAAGGAAACTACTTAATTAGCCAAAGTTACCTATAAAATTAAGCCACTTAAAAATGGGTTTCGTAATGTAAGGAAATCAGAGACAAATCTTAAACTCAAACGAAACCAAGAACAGAAAAACAGTAAACAAAAAAACAGACAATTATACTTGGTTCGGATTTAAAAAATCATAATCCAAGTCAGGGCTTCTACTCTAGCAAATCCACTATTTAGAATAGTTACACCCTAATTACAAGATTTTCTCAGGAACCAAACATAAGTTCTCAATTACACAAAAAACCTTTCTCAGCCTTTTTCTTCTCTCTCTGGGGTAACTTTTCTATTCTCTCAATATATTGACTTTTCAACAATTAACCAAGTCTATATATATACAACATTCAAACCAATGGGTATTAGACACGTCATCAATCCATGAGCTTCCTTAGTAACAAGCTGCAGTCTTGAAACCAACACGGCAAAACTGAATTCTATCTGACTCAACCAATTCTTCAACTAGAGCCAATCTTCACACGTAATATATAATTATGTCATCATTTCTTGAAAGGAATATTTATCTCCGAGTTTCTATTATGGATTAATGAGCAAATATAAGAATCTCTGAGACTACACAAGTACTCAATTGGATACCATGTGAATGAGATTAACTCTAGTGGTTGAAGACTTTAAGTTCTAGCCTTTTGGAATTCGCACTTCAATTTATATTGTAACACAAAATTTATGTGCTTGTACCAAATAATATGCGGCAATTTGTGCCCTTGCAGAAAACTAGCTTCAAGCCTTCAACTATTGAAAAGTGATCATCAACACCAAGTTAAGGTCTTCCTTCTCTCTCTCTCTCTCTCTCTCTCTCTCTCTCTCTCTCTCTCCCCACTCTGTTTGTGTTTTTTTAACTTTTTTTGGGTATGGCTATGGCATGTAACATGTGGCAATGTGCTATTGGCTTTAGCTCATTGATAAATGGTGACTGCTTAAAGGAATAAGTTCTTGGAGCTTTGGAGACAAGGCTGATGGGCTTAAAAGGTCAATAGAAAAGAGAATCAAGAAGAAGTTGACTTTCTGTAGTTGGAAGTTGACTTTCTGTAGTTGGAAGTTTGACAACATGTAACAATAGAGCACATACCAAATATGACCAAAAAGTCGGGCGTTTCATAAATTTTTTAAAAAAAATAGAGTCAGGCGATTAGAATGTTTAATACCCCAAAAAAATGAAATGAAAAGGGGAGAAAACCGCGTAAATGTGTAGTTGTTTTGCTTAATTAAAACTCGTAATAGAAAATGACTCAGGGGAGTAAAGGGGAAAATTACAGGGTAACTAAACCGAGTCATTTTGACTTTTTTATTTTTTTTCAATTGTCTCTTGTTTGGAAATGTTATTAGTTGAAAACAATACAATGTCAACTCTTTAAATACGAACAAACCTTCCAAAATATTTCTTTTTTCTTTTTTTTTTAAATTACCTCTCAAAATATTTCAGAGAACACAAGATTGAAAAAAGAAAATGGAAACCGCGTGGTTGTAACGTTAGATGAAAATTTTATATTAATTTTGGGGGCAAATGACAAGTTTGTGACTTGCCCTGAAAAGGCGAGAATGGACATGCGCAGAATTTATGACAAATATAATAACCTAATTATTTGGAGCAGAGCACCACTTGTTTCTTGTTGCTATACGTCAGGTAAATTGAAACAAGGCGTATAATTAGGAGGACGTTTGTTTCTTATATTCGTCTTTGATTTTAAAGTATGATTTATGATTTTCTATAATACTTTTTTTCACAAAAAATATACATAAAACGAGAATAATTCTGAATACATAAATCAAACGTTCTTTAAATATATTTCTTTTTTTAAAGTAGAATTTACATATATAACTGTATATATTTTCAATCTCAACCAATAAACTATGGTTGCAGCAGCAGAACCTTTTGACTCTTTACATTCTATATTATACATTAAGAATCTGATAAATGAAGAATTTATGTTATATTTTGACAGAGAGTGTAAGAAACTATTAAAAGCTCTGTTTATTTTACCAATTCGAGTTTTGATACAGTAAAAAACTCTCAGAAATAATCATTTAATTTTTTTATTACAGTAAAAAGTTCTCATATAAAGTCACATCTCAACTCAAATTAAAAATTTGAATCAACGATCTAAACGGACCAAAAATATCTTGTTATTAAGGTCATCTGGCACTCTCCAAATCGCTTCACTAAGATTAGCAAAGTACTTTTTCTTAATTAAACTACGAGGGCAAGAGCAGAACAAGTTTTATTAACCATTTAATTAAATGTTCAACAGTTAATCTATCAGTGAATTTTTCTTACTTCTGCAAGAACAAGTGCAAAACAAGTTTTATAAACAATTTTATTAAATTTTGACAGCCTAATTTGCAAGGTTTCACATTAAAAATAATGCACCGTAATCACAAAAGTCTTCTCGGGTTTAGACTGATAAGCATGGACTTGAACTTAAAAGCAAACAGCCATAGAGACCCAAAACCAATGCAATTGAGATTGAATTCACTTGGGCCTGGCTTGGGTACTTCAAGTATTAGGATGAACTTCTGTATCACACTATTGGACGAGATATCCTCGAAATTCGTGAGTCTTTGACTTTGTTACTTTTGTATCACTCCAGCTGTTTGGCTCCTGGCAGGACATGTTCCTGCGATCACAGCACTAAGATTATAATTTAAAATTATTTTTATTTTATATGTTATTTTTATAAAAAATAATACTGTAAAAAATTATAAATCACGATTTAAAATTAATAATGAATATAGAAAAGAAACGTCTCATAAATAATCGTTTCCCGGTCACATTCATCGTAGCATGAATTAAACGTGACGTAGGGTCCGTTTAGTTCACTGATTCGAGTTTTTAATTCGAATTGAGATGTGATTTTATATGAAAATTTTTTACTGTAGTAAAAAAATTAAATGTAATTATTTATGAAAATTTTTTATTATAATAAAATTTAAATTTTAAACTCAAATAAATAAAATGAACTGTAGTTTACTACGTCTTGGTGATAAAACCTATGCAGAAATAATTGCGTAAACTGTAAAGTGGTCTTGACCCTTATACAGTGTAATAGAGCCTTCGTTGATGAACGAACAGGATCGGAAAGTGAAGCAAGAAGCATGTCAGAATCAGAGATACTCAGATAATATATAAATATATATATATATATGCTAGTTGCCATGTGTCACGATAACTGGCCAAGACAGACGACGTGGCAGTAGTGGATGGTACATTTGCCCCGCTGTGACTGCCTGTACTCTATCGTACACAAGAGATGCTATTTGCAAGCACTCATTCTGTCTTTAATTTTAATTTCTTCCCCACACCCACTTCATCATGTCTCGGTTGTTGCCATGTTCTCTTTTTCAAAAACCACCCTATTAAACTAAAATTTATATGTTGAGCCGTTAAATCAAATTTATATCACTTTTAATTTGATTTTGATTAAATCTAATGTTTAGATAATGAATTATGATAAATTCTTCTTTCTTTTTAGCAAACTGCCAGTAACAAAAATTTCGACGATTTATTGTGCGCACGTACCAAATCTGACATCGGATTCCATTTCAATCTGTACCAAACGAAAGAGCTTACAAATAGCAAAGCGGAGGATAGAGCCAACAAAACATAACAACAATATAAAGAGGAATAATGAAGGTTTTTATGCTCAAATATTCTATAGACTGTGAAATTAAAATGAAAGAGTATGTAGTTTAAGGTTCCGTTCATTTTATCAATTTAAATTTTTAATTATAATTTTGTTATAGTAAAAAATTCTTATAAAAAATCGTATTTATTTTTTTTATTACAGTTAAAAGCTTTCATATAAAGTCACATCTAATATTAAATTAAAAATTTAAATCAGTGAATTGGATAAAACTCAAATGTTTAACCAATTTTAAATTTAAATTATGCAACAAATTCTAAATAAGATTTGACGGATACTAGTATCATCAACACATTTTGTCTCCTTACAAATTACCCAACAACGAGAATAATAAAAAAAAATAAAAATAAAAAAAAACTATTTTTTTCTCCTGCAGTTTTTCTGACAGAACAGATTGAAGATTCTCCGGTTTGTAGTGATCTCTGATCAGCGTAATCGATAGAAAAATCATATAATACGTCCGAGTCAAGGAGGGGAATAGGGAATTCCTTTGCTGCGTATGAAAGGACAAACTTGTATTGGATGCTCAGCTTTGAAACGAGTTGCGACAGCTTGGGCCACGTTGTTAGGCTCGTCTTGTCGTCCCCTCTCGTCTTTTCATGGAGTAAACAAAAGCTTTTTGCTTTTTTTACCGTTTACCGTTTAAGTGACTGCCTAATATAACTTTTTTCTTTTTTGTTGGCCCTTTTGGTTTTGTTTTGTATGCATATTCCGCTACAATTTATAGTTTTTTCGCTTAGAGTTTGGCTTATTACACTGATACCTTTTACGTTTTGTTAAAATAACAGAGATCACGTCAATACCTATTAATTTTTTATAAAAATTAAACGGACACTCCCTTTGTTAGTTGACCGTCAATTTTAACCGTTAATTCTTTTTAAAATGCCCCTAGCATCAAAAAATGAGTTAGTTAATTTTTACACATTTATAGCTATAATGTTCACTCTAATTAAAACAAATATTGTTTTGATTTTTTTCTAAAAATTCTTTTTTAGTAATGTTCTCCATCTACTAAACTAGCGTATTAAATTAAAAACCATTTAATATTTGGTGCATTATTAAGACTAACTATATTATAATGAAACAAAAAAAGTTTAAATTAAACTTAAAACATTAATTACAAAAAAATAATATAAAACAAAAAAATTAAACGCATTAACTTTTTTTAACATATTTTTAAGTTAACTCTTTAAAAATATTACAACACATCCTAACACAATTTTTTATTAAAAAAAATAAAAAAGAAAGAAAACAAATTTAACGCAAGGGTAGTTTTGACATTTCTCACTAAAATTTAACACCAGGAAGTGTTGCTGTTATTAAATTCGGTCAAAAGGGTGTCACTATAATTTTAATAAAACACAAACGGTATCACTGTAAGGGGACATCCGTGTAATTTTTATAAAAAGTCAAGAAGTATTGAAGTGATTAATTTCGGTCAATAGAGTCTCTATTATTTTGACAAAACACAAAGTGATTAATTTCAGTCAATAGAGTCTATTATTTTGGCAAGGGGTATTAGTGTAATAAGCCCTTATTTTTTTCTCCATTTCTTTATTTTTTGGTTCCGTCCCGTACGGTCAACCAATCATTATAATGCTTTGATTGCCATACTGAAATGTTTAAGATTATGGTTTGATTAATGAAAAGGTTAGAATTTTGATGTATAACAAGATAACAATACAATGTAATATCAAGATATAAGGTCAATTACGTCATTTAGATTTTAGATAAAGTCTCGACAACTGTATTGGTTAACAGTTTTTCATTAGATACCTCGGATTTGATCAGATTTTCAAGCTTCCAAAACCCAAAAAATATTAAAAAAAGAAAGGGCGAAAAGAAAAAAGAAAAGAGAAAAGAACATGACCATAAAATTTCAGAGTCAAATGGGAATCATTTCTGGAGGGCCCACGCCATTACAACTTTTTGATTTAATGCCCAGACCCATACTATCCAAGTATTCAATTATGAAAGTACTTCACAGTAAATATAGCTATTTCCAGGGACAAACGAAGAGTAAATTCAGTAATTCTCGAGGATGGTAGTAGCAAAGATTTCTCCATCTTCCCCCCAACCCACATTATCATAACCCACCATTTCCCAAGGAATTGAAGAACAAAAAAAAATTAAATTAAATTTAAAAACCATTACAAGAACCACCAGCATTTCTATACAAACTCAGCCAAGAATCAAGAAATCTTTTCTCCTAAGAAAACGTTTGCTAATTGACCCAAAAATGGGAATCATTTCTGGAGGGCCCACGCTATTACAACTTTTTGATTTAATGCCCAGACCCATGCTATCCAAGTATTCAATTATGAAAGTACTTCACTGTAAATATAGCTATTTCCAGGGACAAACGAAGAGTAAATCCAGTAATTCTCGAGGATGGTAGTAGCAAAGATTTCACCATCTTCCCCCCAACCCACATTATCATAACCCACCATTTCCCAAGGAATTGAAGAACAAAAAAAAAAAAATTTGAAATTTAAAAACCATTACAAGAACTACCAGCATTTCTATACAAACTCAGCCAAGAATCAAGAAATCTTTTCTCCTAAGAAAACGTTTGCTAATTGACCCAAAAAAGAATAAACTTGATCAAAAGAAGGCCCTTGATAAGCTAAGCTAAGCTAAGCATGGACTGGACCTGGAGTGAGCTGGACCGAATTAGGTGGGCTGTAGGTCGGCGCTGGCCCAACCAATAGCGGCGGCGTAGGTGGCGGCGGAGATGGCGGCGGCTGAGTGGGGTTAGAATTCGGCGGAGGTGGGCCTGGGCTTGGGTTTGAGTCCGGCGGAGGCGGAGTTGGATTTGGGTTTGGTGGGCTGAGAACAGAGCTTGGTGGGCTGGGTTGGGACGAGTTCGGATCAGGCCTTGCTGGGCTTGATTGGCTGTAACTGGGATTCGGAGTCGGATCCGGATTGGGGAAAACGAGCGGTGGAGATTGGCAGGAGTCGCCGGAGCACTTATGGGTCTTCTGGAGTCCATGGCGTAGAAGCCCAAATCCCAAGACAAGCCCTAGAACCACAAGAACCGTGACTATGAAAATGAAGATCTTCGTTGCTTTGCCCACATAACACATTTTTCTCTTTTTTTTTTTTTTAATCTCTGTTTCTGGGTTCTGAAGATCTGGTCCAGAAAACTCAGAATCTGCAAATGGGTCTTTTTGTTATTCTTTTGTTTTACTGGTTTAGAAGAAATGGAAGAGTATGGGTTATTTTTCGTCTTTTTTTCATGGTGAAGAAGAAGAAGAAGATGAAGATGATGATGATAAAGAAGGGAAGAGAGAGCAGTGCATCGTTGAGGAGCAGAGTTGTTTTTTTAATTGATTTTTAAGAATAAGAGATGGTGAAAGGAGTTTAGTGTGGCACGTGAAGACCATTTAAGAGAGAATACAAAGTAGGAGGGCAGTCTGAGTGCCAAGTGCCCAACGTACTTTCATTACTTCTGCTGACTAGTTAGGCAGCCCAAAGTGGACAAAAATGCCCCTCTCGCTTCGTCACAAATCACAATCGTATTCTCCAATCTCCAATCTCCACCATGACACTCGACTATAGCTTTTTAGCACCATGTATAAGTGGATTTGGAACCAACATGCGTGAGTCGCAAAGGAGATGGTACCAACATGTAACTTATTAGACCATTTTGAATGTAAATATTATTGTTAATTGTATATTTAGTATTAAAAATATATTTTTAGTTTTATTTTAATGTATAATGCTATTTGAAATGTTAAATTTATTTTTTTTAGAATTATTAAGCATTGAAAATTATAAAAGTAATTTTTTATTTTTCAAATAATTAAAAAATGCAAAAATTGTAATGATTATATGAAAAGTAAATATTTTAACTAATAACAATTAAATGTTAAATTTATCATATGTTATATACTTTATGATAAATTTATCATAAAGTATAACATAGGAGAAATTTAGCACAACAAATAGCATTATATTGGAGAGTTTTTCACACTCAAATGCTAAATTTACAATTGACATAACAATATCAATTATAACATTACATTGGAGATGCTCTCTCCCTAAAAATATACAATATTCAACTTTAAATTATTGAAATAAAATAAATTTTCTTTAATTTGTCTCAACTCAATACCGACTTTAATTAACACTACATCCGCTGAAATTAACAATGAGATTTCATCTAAGAATGTTGATTACCTCCAGTTTCTCTTTGCATCAATTCTCAATGACAATATTTAAGCCCTAAACAAATTATTAGTTCTGGTTTTCTAAAGGGTCATGTATTGATCTAGCTCTCAGCACAAAGAAGAAGAAGAAGAAGAAGAAGAAGAAGAATCAAGTACATAGAAGCGTCTAAAACTGATAGTTTGATGAAAATTGACAATTATACAATTGTTTAAAGGGAGACGGATATAGTTGATTAGAACTCTTGGCATCATTAGCGAAGTTTGATAATTTGCAAAGAGTTGTGATTATGATTCAAGTTGCAACAAATCATGTGCAAATTATGATGTATGGTAGCACTAAGCATTGGATTTTGTTCATGGTTTGGAAAAATATGGACATTTTTATAAAAATATGTGCAAATTATGATGTATGGTAGCACTAAGCATTGGATTTTGTTCATGGTTTGAAAAATATGGACATTTTTCTTTTATAAAAATGGAAAATAGGGACATTGTTTCTATTGTCGAATTCTCCTTTTGTCAATGAATCTATATAGTAATACCATTCAAACTTTCATGCATGCTCAATTGTTGTTGAGGGGTGCTGAGGACAGACGTTATTTCATATACTTATTCAGACGCCCTTTCAAATTATGACATATGTTAGTTTTCTTTTGCCCTCTAAAAAACTGGCAATCTCTGTTAAAATAAAGTGCAAACTTTTGGGTTTAATAACAAAAATGTCATTCTTCTCTTGCCTATCAACTCTGTCAAAATAGAAGTGAGTGGGATTAAAACAGAGATACGAGACATTAAAAATTTAAATGCTAAGGGAAAAAAAGTTTGAACTATAGTTTCAAAATAGGTAAAAGGTTAGGGATCATTAGTGCAAGTAAGTTTTTATCGAAACGCCTCTCGTTAAGGTGCATGTGTTTGGAACACGATGACTTAACCCAAAAAAAAAAAAAGAAAAGAAAAAGCCTTTATGCAGTACAAGTCCACAAGTAGAACAGATACAGTGGTGTTTAGGACTTAACTGCAACACAAAATAGTATAGAGACCTAAATGCAACATTAGCGTCAAGTTAATGACCAATATGGCAAAAAAAAAGTAAGCTCTTTTTTTAAAATAAAAAAAAAAAGAAAAAAAAAACAGTTAGGAGTAAATAGCGGGGATAATTCAGGGGGTTTTGCAGATAAGGAAAGGCATTGAAGTGAAATATATAGAGAATCGAGCCAAGAGACAAATATGTCTGCCATCTCAATTCTCCTCACCTCTCTGGATGGACCATATATATGCATCGCTCATCTTCTCAACTACCCCCTGAATTTTCCATTTTATACATTCATAACCCCAGTTTCCAATTCGATTCATTCTTAATTTACTGTTTCACTCCATTTCAGTTTTTGACACATAATTTTCATAATTATAACATATGCATCTATCATTCATGCAGTCTGAGAAAACGTATAAATTTTTATGCAATCTAAAATATACCGATATGCGTGTATCATTCATTCCTGCATGCGTGTATCATTCATTACTGCTAGCGTGACATAATTACTTTGAAATTTCATTTTGTTGAATGCAGAGTAAACGTTTCTGAAAGTTTCGTTTACTCCTTTGTTATGCTCGTCTATATATGCCCTCGTAATGGGTAATAAATTGGGCCTCAAAAGGGAGTGCATAAGGCTGTGGCCCGAATGGTGGTTGAGGATGGATTCTCTTCATATCTCAAGGCCTCTAATTTTTGGCCCACATTATCATTTTTTATTTTTTATTTTGATAATGTAGGTTCACATTACTTAATACTGATAGAGTTTCTTTCGTTCTTTAGTTTCCGTCAGACTTTTTCTTGCTTGCATTTTTTTTTTTTTTAATAATTAACAAGTCCTACCCCGGTAAAAAGAGAGATTTTTATGGTAGAGCGCGCTTTTAGAGTTTGATCAGATGGGAAAAAAAAAAGGTGTTTTGTGCTGTTATGAATGATGAAGTGACAATGCTAGGTTGCACCATAATTTTTACATGTCTTTGGGTTTATGCCACAACTCCTTTATGGTTTGGATTTATGTAACATTTTGTTGATAGTTAACTAGCTTATTTGTATGATTAGGGCCGGTAATATGGACAACGACATGATAATACGACACGAATTTCGCAGGTTAGGGTTGAGAAAAAAGATGTTTGAGTCATAAATGGGTCGACCTGAAATTAACATGAAAAAAACGGGTCAATTTTGGGTTGGACTCGCCTAACACGAACACGACACGAAACACGTAAAAAACTAAAAAATACATATATTTTTCATTACATATTTTTTATTTTATTATGAACTTGTGATATTTTGATAGTTATACTCAAAATCTTATTATTTGCTTAATTTTAATGGATGTTATTGTATTTTAGTGTGTTATGAATTTTTAAGTTATTTTTAATATGTAAAAAACTAAATTAAGTATACAATTTTCGTGTCACGAGTTATTTTCGTGTCGTGTCGTGTCAACCCGTATAGTGGTCGTGTCGTGTTTGTGTTGCGGTTTTTAAAAAATTTCATGTCACAAGTCGTGTTCGGATTGATTATAAATTTAAAAAAAAAATGATTAAAATATGACACAAATACAATATGTGACACGAATTGCCACCCGTGTGACACAAATCAAAAGCTCCAATATATATGGTATAACCGTTGAAAATACTCTATGATCTTTGAAGGGGTGGGCCATTCCCTTTAAAGGTAGTTTGGCAGTATTGAAGACTTTGAAGGCAGTGGGGTGATTTTCATTGGTTCTTTTGAAGACTTTAACTTCATCTATGTATTAAAAGTTTTATTCATGATGAAGTGTGGGATGAAAATGCGGTAAATGTGTAACGCATTTTGTAAAGTGGAGTGTAATTGTTTTTCTTGTAATTTTGTCGATTGGAACTAATTGTCCCTTGCCCTTTTGGTGTTTTAAATAATGTATGGGTTGTAGGAACTTTTACTTCATTGTCGGTTAGTAGAGCTGTAAGTTTGAGTCATGACAAGCGGACTGACTTCAAGACCCGTCATTGTTAGTCTAGGTTCAGCCCGACCTTAACATTTGAGACGGGCCGGGTCAAAGTTTCAAGCCCGAATATTTTTTCTGGCATGGTAAACACTCTCTTTTTAAAGATTTTTTTTTTTTTTTCAAAATACCTTAAAAAATTTTGAGCCGAACCTAGACCTTTCAAGCTTTGGGGTTGGATTGGGTCGATTCTCTCCTCTTTAGGGTTGGGCCGAGCTGAACTTTCAACTCTACCAGTTAGAAGGAAAAATGTGAAAGCGTGAGAAATTATATATCGACACAAAGGGTGTCCACCAAATCCGCAAATACACTCAACTTAAGGCCTCATTCATTTCACATATTCGAGTTTTGTTACAGTAAAAGTCTATCAGAAATAATCACATTTAATTTTTTTACTACAGTAAAAAACTCACATAAAGTCACATCTCAACTCGAATTAAAAATTTGAATCAGCGAACTAAACATGCTCTAAATCAACCTGCACGGGTTGAATTGAGTTGAGAGAACTTTTGGGTTTGTACAGGTTGATAAAATTTCAATCCAAAAGGTTTTAGATTGATTTGTGTTAATGGATAAGATCTTAATATCTGAATTTCAATTGTGTGGCGGTGGATGAGATTTTATTAAATTATTTTATGTTGTAGTATGTTTATTTTAATTTCTTAAAACGAATATATGAGATTAGTACTTAAATGGGTCTTCAAGAGTCCTAAAATTAGGTCCGATCCTTAGAATTTGTAGAAATTAAACTGCGAAATCCGATTTTCTTTGTTGGATTATGAGGACTTTTAGACCGATAAGAGAATTTTCCAATCCGAAGGTTTTGGGTTAGCTTGCAGATTAACCCTTAATTCACAAAACCCAATTCGTGAATACCCCCTATATAGGTTAGGACCGCACACTACGGAAAACGCTTTCAACACAAAAAAAAATGTAAATATTACAAAAATTTAATGATAATCTTTTGGTTCATACTCTGAAATTCTTTAATTTTAAAAGATAATAAATATAGAGATGATGCGATAAATTTTTTGTCTACATTTTTTATGGGTAAGCAATGTGGTCATTCATTATTGATAGATAATTGGCCAAAAATCTAAATATAGTTAAACATATAGATATTTTGAGTTGTCATAGAAAATGATTTATTAAGTAGTTATAATTTCCCGAACAAATAAAGTTGACAGATAGCTATGTAGGTATATATATATATTTGTGATTTTTACGATCTGAAAAAGGTACCTTATTTTACTAAAAAGAAAAAAGAAAAAAAAAGAAAAAAGTACCTTATTGATAGGGTTATATTTTAAACCATTAAATTTGTATTTGGTCAGTCAGTTTTGCGTATTTTTTGTTTTAACGTGATTAATCTATAATCAAATCTAACATTTGTGTGCGTGTGTGTGTTTTGGCACACGCACGTACACCGTAAGCATCTTTTATACATCACGTTCAATAAATAATCCTTTCCATACTCGTGTCTTGTGCAAGGAGAAGATGACAAATACTTTGATCAATTTGTTTGCTACATAATCTGTCCGTCTTTTCCCGTGGCCTTTATGCAAAATGTTTTTCTGCTTATGGTGATTGGCAAAGCAAGAAAACAAACAAAAGAAAGACAATGACTTGAAACATGAATAAACCAAATAAACAATGACCAGAAAAATAACCAACGATCCTTATTCTGCTGGCCATGCAAGCGATCAGAAGAAGCCCCCCTTACCACTTGTAACTCATTGGCATTCATTACATTCTTTCCTTAGAGGATTCCAGTTGAGTCTCCAAAAAAAGTGTTCGCCATTTTCCTACTCAAAGAACCCACAAGCAGTGCTCTTAACAAATTAAAGGTTTTTTTTTTATTTTTTTATTTTTTTATTTTTTTTTTATTTTTAAAGAAAAACATCTCAGAGCCTTGACTTGCAAGAAAACACAAAAAGTCATTTGCATTCGGAATTCCCGTCCTTGACCATGCGTTAGCATAGAGAATCGTTGTCGTTTTGGTACATTGGTGACAAAGAGCAAGGAAATAAGTCATGGTCACCATGACAGCCATTATGCATTCAGCAGCAGGCGGTTTAGGAGATAAAATCAGGTACTTTCAAAGGGAAATGCCGCTCGTAAATCCATTCGAAAGCGCACAACAACCAAGCAGAGCGAAGAAGCGTCGGCGACTACTCAACGACGCTC